TCATATTACATTGTATTAGCAGTGTATTAATAATATCTAGGTATGGTATTCAAATAAATTTCTATATACGGAGTAAATTCATAGCAAAAAATTAAGAGTATTCACAACCCATAAGCCCACATAAATGCACATTGAAGTTATTCCTAGCTTTGCAGTCAATAACAATTGATGACAACATACTAATTATTAATAATAAAAAATATTTATGATTAGATAATACATTATAATATGTATATAAACACTACTGAGTTATACAAAACAAACATACACAGAAAAACAATTCCATTGTATTCAGACATCACTTTGGCATTAATTCCCTTTATCTTTGTAAAAGTTATGTTTCTGTATTTGTTTTTAAACTGATTGATGTCCGCACATTCTTTAATTCATCTTCCAGTCTGTTCCATATTGTGACTCCAGTGACGCAAAATCTTTCTAGWAAATAAATTCACTCTGTAAATATTTTTAAAGCATGACTGGAGGAACTTCCAAGTTTTACAGCACCAGAATCTAACATAAAAAAACAGCAACTCTATTTATACTTAAACATTTAAATGGGCGGTTAGGATTAGGATTCCAGGTGCCCTGTATTTTCAGTGGCACTAGACCTAAATTGCACCCTTGTCAGAAGATAGATGCAGCTGTATAAATAAATATCATGTGCTGGTRTAAGCTGTCCCAGGACCAACGCTGCTGCCAGCCGTACAATAATTTATCACTTATTTGAGTTTCCACAGCATCTGAAGGGGCTTCAAYGCCAACTCCTTAGCGACAGCAGCTCTGGTAGGGTGTCAGAGATTAAGAGAAGGTGTCTTTTTATAGGACATGTCATTAACACAGGTTTGCCAGATATATTTATTTACACAAGCAGCATAAATAGTGAGCCCTGATTATGGCGATCCGGTTTCATGTGTTCGAGGCGGCAGAGCGGCGTGGGCCTGAGGTGTTTCCTCCGTAATACTCGGACTTATCTTCTGGATTATAAAGCATAAAAAGATACACGGATGATCTCACTCTCACCATAACATCTGTTGTGAACTGTAACAAAAAATGTGCCCGTGTTGGCCAAAGAATTTTAATTGGTGGCTATAAGGTATCAAAAACACTGAATGTTTTTTAAGCCTCCTTACAGTAAAGTTTAATTTAAAAATTTCAGTGAGATTTGAATGATTTTATTGAATCATTCATTTGACTGATATTATGTTTTTTTTTTTATTAAAACAGGGCTGCAGCATTCAGCCTTTTTATTGTTTTATTAAAGTAATTTACAGAAATTATAAAAACTTTTCTTAGAGAGAGAAGAAAACATTTTTTTAAATATAAATTAGTCTGCAAGGTTATTTTGTAAAAGCACCACTTCCTTTTGTCATGGTCATAATCCATCATTTTTTTCCATGTATTAAAACTACAATATAATCCAAATAAATATGGTTTAAAAACTACCTTTGCAAGAAAACATCTTTTTCTCCATTAGTTCATGAGAAAATTGTCAATGAAACTGGTCCATGATGCAAAAACAACTGCTGTAGATACACTATGAGCAGTCAATATCTTACCTGTGGTAGATGGCTTTAAAAAAAAAGCTCAGTTTTTAAAAATCTACAAAAAAATGTAAGGAAGTTCGTGTTTGGTAGATTATTTTTTGTTGTAACGATGCTTCTTGGCAATAAAACTGTAAATCAGGGCACCTGATTGGTAGCACCTGGGGGAAAGGGTGTAACTAGGTCTACCATTGAGGGGGTGGGGGGTTAAGCTGTCTACCTATTTATTTATTTATTTATTTATTTATTTATTTATTTATTGACTGATTGATTTATTGATTGATTGATTGATTGATTTACTTTTGTAAAATTATTCAGGATATTTTGAGGTTAAAATACATTGCGATGCTTTTACTGTAGCCTGGTAAAAACCAGACCCTTGTCCTTCACTTTGCTTCGTACGAGGGTCTGGACTCTCGGCTATAGAGAAGTGATTCTTCCTGGAGGTGTGGCCTCTGCTGAAGTTTAAAATGATTGGTTCGGTTGGCCGCAACGTATCTGTATGCCAGCTCCACTGTGAAGGAGGCTAAGCTAAGAAGCTAACCAGTAATTGTGTGTGCTGTAAACAACCCTACTGAGAGGAGAGAAGTACCRAGCTGAACGAGACGACTGTAAATGAGAGCTGCTGCTTTGTCAGACAAATGTAATTTAATTTGGAAGCCTTATCAACACGGACTGGCTTCATTCACTTCCTCCACTGCCGTATGCTAAATTAACTAGCAGACACATATCAACGTTCTGTTCGGTGATTGGCCCGGACGAAAATTCTCCCAAAGAAAGCCTTGTCTATGGGAGAAATCCGACAGAGCAGTGAAGCGGAACTGCGTAGGAAGGCAAGGGCCAGGCTACTTTTACTGTGATTTACTTAACTTTACTGTTTTCTTTGTATGAACCCCCCCCCCACCCCCCGATGTTTTCCAACATGTTCAAATACTTTACATTTTTCAGATGTACTATACGACATGCATAAATTTCACTATTTTCCAGAAGTATGTATTTACCTGGTGTCAATAGCAACAGCTAAATAAGCTGTTTAGCAGAGAAGATTAGGCAAATTTTTCATGAGTGCAACCCACATACTCAGCTCTACTGCACATCCCACAAATGCATGTTCCTTACAAATGTGGCACCATTCAAAGGCGAACCTAAAACACTTTCCAACGATATAAGATTTATTGCCAAGAACTATGGTTACAGCAAAGAAATAATCTGCCAAACACAAATTTCCTTACTTTTTGTGCGAAGTATATTAGAACCTTCATATTTCCTTTTTGTGTAGCTCTAAAACAGCAAATCAACATGTCTATTTGAGATTACTCTGACAATCGCACATTTTTGTTTTTTCTTACAGTTCTACATTAGTGTTGCAGTCATGGCTGGTTTGAGTGTCCTGAGCGTAGTTTCGAACCCTCCGCCACATCTACCCGACCTGTTTCCTGTCCTGGTGTCTGCGACTGCTTTCCTGCAGTTTTTGGGAATATTTATACACTTTAACGTTCTTCAGTTCAGCAAGCCAATCAGCAAAAAGAGCCAGAAGAAAACCAACTAATGATGGTATTACAKCAGTGAAATTAGCTTTACACTGTGTTGTTTACCTGCTCTTTTTATGATGTTTTCTTTAAAATTAAAAATGGAACAAGTGCTTCTTAAAGGTTTCTTGGACTTGAAAACTGTAGATTCRGAGGAAATTTGTCAACAGTTGTCCTGCATGGACCAGCAAAGTTGATACAATTCCTAAAAGAGTTTTATTTGTTGTCAAAACTCAGGATCTGAACTTTCCAAACAACTTGGTCTTGAGTCATGTGAACATTTTTCTCAAGYTGTTTTTGCTTCTGCTTAATGACAATTTAAAGATRAACAGATGCTGGTATTGTTCAGCCCGCACTCATGACTTTACCTTGCTACAATAATACCAACTTTRTAACAGTGTGAAGTTATTGTTAAAGGAAAAAGACGTGTGGATTGAATTTTGCAGTTATTTTTAAGGCCATAGTTTGTGTTGGTGAAAGGTATTCCTGACATTTTGTCTACTTTCTTGGTGTTTGGATTGTGGTAAACACATTATTGATGGGCTGGACTCCTGTCTGGCTGAATGGACCAATTGGTATAAAAAGATCCTTTTTCCACCGTGTATTTCTACACATCATTAAAGTTGTTTTATACAAACTTTGTAACGATTAATCATTTTTCCCAAAGTTTTAAAGTGAACATTACTTTTATCACGGCATAATTAAATGATTTGATTCAAAACACCTTCATAAAAATTGTCTACATTAGTTAAGTAGTCTCCTAAATCACCTCCAAAACTCTGGCAGAGACAGAGCCAATAATTGGACCAAAAAAAAATTATATCTTTCCAAGCTTTTACTCAACATCATTAAATGTTAATTATGAGTCCTTGATGCTACAAGGTTTCCTCAGAAAGACCCGTTCATTTAAAGCAGAACCAGGGAAACGAGATTTAATGGAAGGCCACATACATGAACATAATGCTGTAAAGTTGAAATACCACAAAAGAGAAGGGGGGAAAAAAAAGCACAAGCAATTTCTTTCTGCGAGTTAATGACTGGTATAAAAAAATCCATTACAACTATAAATGTTATCAGATCAGTGAGTGGGGGTGCCGGGGCATCGGGGGGCTGCGAGTCAGCGGTCAGTAATGTCCTGCAGGGACAAACAGGAGGACGCTTACGTACATGAAAAAAAAAAAWTTTTTTTACATAAAACGTCATCCAGTAATTAAAATAATTAAATAATAGATTTTTTTTTCATGAATTGGCTCTAAATGCAAGTGAAGAATGATTAGGGTTGATAGGCAAAGATAATTATGAGTGATTATGCTAAATATTAGTGCTCAGAACATGTTAGGGATCAGTCTCAGCTACTGTTACACCAAGTCTTAGATCAGTATCTGTATGATTGACTGAATCTTGGTCCTTTTTGTGTTTTTTTTTAAAGGGGAAATTTCATGCAAAACTCACTTTTTTGTTTAAACCATTAAATACATCATACACATGGATATCTTTATATTCTGTTTGAGTCATATTTTTCATCCCGTTCAGTTTTCTTTATTTTCTTTGACGTTTTCTGAACTTTTATGTCAAAATATTTGTGACAGAACTGCCAAATAAGGTCCGGACCAACTACAATTTGGTGGTCTTCATTCTCCTCTGGCTCTGGGTCAGACTATGGCTCCAACATGTAAGAATGGATGGACGAGTCTTCTGTTGTTGACATTTTTTTATTAATTTGTAAATGAAATATGTCTGAGCCGCCATATAGCCGTAAACCCCCTCTATCAAGATAAAATGGGCTGCTCTGGAAGCTGAAGGGGGGGTTGGGGTGTGTGTGAAGTGTCTCATTTGGATTTAAAGAGACAGCCTCAAAAAGAGTTGATCTGAGACACACCTCAGAAAAGGAGGCTTGTGGAGTTACAATAAGGAAAGCATTGCAGTTCCACTTTAGACCCCAACTGAAGGATTTAAATGTGAAAAAGAAGGATTTGAAACCACAAGTCTTCTTTAAGCTCTTTTGTCTATGGCAGCCATCTTGAATCATGCTGTAAATCTCCATTCAGTGGTTATAGAGGACCTATACAATTTTTTTTCCTTTGATTTTTACCTGGATTACTGAGATGCATCAGGACATTTTGAACCATTTTGGCCAGGATTGCCTGAAACTAGTTAGAGAGTTTGAGCAAAC